CACCCCCTTTGCACGCTGGCTTCATTCTTCGAGCAATCAGCAGGGATGGGCGAGAAATAGCCAGGACGATAAGAGTCCAGACTTCCAGGCTATTGCACGTTGCGTGCTGGACTTCGCAAGCTCAATCAGCCAAAGATTTCTGGAGATGTTTGATGGTGCAGGAAACACACCAGTTCACGAAGCGGTTCGCTCTGGCTATCCTGAGTTGCTGAGGTTGTTGCTTGAGTATCGTCCCGATTTGCTGTTCCGTGAAAATGCCGTGGGAAGTACGCCTCTTGAGCTGGCAACCGACAGCTGGGTGACACACGTAACTTCGGCCTGCCCCTCAGTCGAGAGAGAAGACCTAACGCGAGAGGGACCTTGGAATCCCGAGATGACTTGTGTCCTTGAGCGCTCGACGGAGACCTTTAAGCCGGACTACCGCGCGCCAGAACATCCGAAGAAAGCCATTTACAGGATTGCTCGTGAGTCAGCCGCTCACCACCCAGCTAAGAGACGGTTGGTGAGTTTGAACGAGGCCACGGAGGTGACAAAGCGACTGGCGCTGCGAGGCGAGGAGGGGACCAGAGTCTCGAGCCAGGACAAAGATGAGTATGATGAGGTGACTTACTGGCATAAGTATGGCGGTCCAAAGCATTATGGGGCCTTCTCTGATGATAACTGAGAGGCGGACTAGCGATTGCGGGTATGGAGACTGGGTGAAGGCTCTCTGGCTCAGAATCATGTTGCTTTTAATTACTCCCCTTATCTTCGAGCTCGCGACATGAGCATAAGCGAGACAATGAGCCTTATCCCTATTCACAGCTTCCGTGCTCAATGTCGGCAAACATATTTCAAGTCCATGTGTAGCGTATTCATCTCCTCCAAAGCAGATCTTGTCAATATGTTTCAGGTGTGGTTCTCCAAAAACAAATCGAAAGCTGTGGGGTAGGATTATATTGTACACCTAGCGTATCGTCAATTTCTCAGAGAGCACAGCTCTTTCTCATCGTACGTACAAGGTGACCCCGTTCTAGAAATTAGCGGCATTAGTCTGCCAGCGTGTTGGTAGCATTCTAGTCCTTATTTCATGCTTTGTACACTTCATCGCAACGTCATATCAGATGTGAAGCATTGCTAATTTGTGTACATACCCCGATATTCTAATTCTCACCAGGACTGTGACCTCCAGCCCGGTTGGATACGGATTCGCCTGTATGTGTGCTTTGTATAGTCTTTCTCTCAGTGATAGCTCAATGATCTCCATTACACTGGTGGTTTCTGGTGCGTATGCTTCAGAACCATGTGCTCCGTGCTTGGAAGTGTAGCAGATATGGAACCGTGGCGGATAGTCGTTGGCGTCGCTGACGAAGCGCAGAGAAAGCGATAGGTCTTTGGGCGTTGACACGGGAGGGTCTGGGTCATTGCGATGGGTGAGCATAGGGCAAGAGGAATGCGCGAGGGGAGAATCAGGGTACCTTAGATGAGCTCTTGGCCTGTGTAGTGATTGGCTAAACAAGGCCGGGGATGGGTCACGTCTTAGACGTTGGGCCGTTCGAGGACCACATAAGAGGTCACCTCGCACTGGGTGCCCGGTCGGCGAGGGCTGAGCGAAGCTGGCGGGGCACGAGCTTTTCAATACACTTCCGGGCTCGGGGCTTGTTGACGTTGAGTACTTGAGCCTGTCCATGGGGAAGGTGGTTGTGGGAGTCCTGAGGCAGCTCAGGGCGGCGGCTTTGTGATCGGTTCCTTGTTTGCTTGGCGTTGTGTGTTGGTGAAGAATGGAAAGTGAATAGCTACAGCATCACGTGGGCAGGGCACTTCAAACGCTGACTTATGACTAATACTGTCGTGCCTCGCTTAGCAATGCGAAGAGAGAGATCGGATGTTCTTTGGCTATTCCTTTTCAGTCGGATGGCTGCTCCGAGGTTTACGGTCGCGCTCTTGGAAGAAGCGCAGCTTTCCATATGGAGCTCTTAGGTGTCTTCAGGCAGCGACAGCATTTGGATTTCATTGTTCTGCACCAGGAACCTTCTTCGCTGCATACCATAGCCCAAGCTCTCGATGGATTCATCCCTGCCCATGCTACTATGATAGCGCATCTACCATGCTCAAGCTTCGACCTGTGAGTAGCTACTCGAACACTTCATATTTGAAGTGGCTGCCGGATCCCAAATTTGGCTCCAAAACCTCATCGAAGTCCGGGATCGGGTCGTTTATCGCAGGCTCAGGCGTTCGGACAGCGGTGATGACGTGGTTCGTGAGCACGCGCGACCGGAAGCCTGCCTCACAGTACGTGAAATAATACTACATTCCGTTAGTCGTCTCGCTCAGTGCAGCGCTGCGAAAGAATGAGTACGTACCACCCACACCCGACGGAAAGCCTCCACTTCATGCTCGGTCGCCTCGGGGTGTCTGTCGATGTAATCCCGGCGGATGAGGTCCCAATTCTCGAGGAAATTCTCACGCCAAGTCATCAGAGTTTTAATATAGCTCGGCCCGATGCTCTGGAGAGAGTCAAGCTCCAACGTGCCATTCGACCCGGAGTGCAACGCATTCAGGAACACATTTGTGGAACAAAGGTACCCGCCGGGGAAGATATATCGATCGGTGAAGGTGGTAATACCGGGTTTGTTGTCATGCATCTGCCCATCCCTCAGAATCAGCTATACGTCGCAGAACAATTTGCAGAGACCCACTCACCATGTTGTTCGTCGTGATCGCCTGCATCACGAGAATACCTCCCTCAGGCTTCAGAAGCCGGGAGATCGTCCCGAAGAACCCATCCATGTATTTCTTCCCGACATGCTCCACCATCTCCACCGAGACGATGCGGTCATACCCGCCTGCCGGCATTGGCGCATTTCGATAGTCACACAGCAGGATTGTGATCTTATCGTCTAGCCCGGCAGCCTTGATGCGCTTCTCGGCCAGCGCCTTCTGCTCCGAGGCAAGGGTGATGCCCGTCACGCGGCACCCGATCAGCCGGGCGGCCTCGATTGCCAGACTGCCCCAACCGCATCCGATGTCGAGAATGTGGTCCGTTGGGGAGATGCGGGCTTTCTGCAGGATGTTGTGTACGCTGCGGATTTGCGCGGTTTCGAGGGTCTCATGTGGATTGTTCGACCACCATCCGTTCGAATAGTTCATGTCTGGGGAAAGGAGGGCGGCGAAGAGGGCGTTGGAGGTATCATAGTGGAACGTCACGTTCGAGCGGGAGTGAGCCAGTGTGTTTGTGGGGGTAAAGAGGAGGTGGCGGAGGCGGGGGAGGAAACTGAGTAGACGGTTACCGAAGCCGAGCCTGGTACGGTTGCGGAGGTAAAGCTGGGCCTACATTAGACGCCGATCTTGCTGCTGAGGGTAGGAGAGGCCTGGGTTGGGGTTCTCACCTGGAACACATGACGGAGGTCGTCACATTCAAGCTCTTGGTAGATGTATGCTTCCGCGAAACCCTGGACGAAGATTAGATCATCCTGAGATGGTGAAGGAGCATCTTACCAGATCAAAAGCCTGGCAGATGCGAACCCAGGCGTTAGGATCCAAAATCACGATCTGCACACCTTTGTCCGTCGACTTGGGTCCAAAGACAACGGTTTCTGGCTCCTTAGCGTGATTGTTGATCACTACTGTCAACCGCTCCTGGTGCTCAATGCTGGCCAGAGCCTGCAGAACAAATGATTGGGAGTATGACTGGATCAGACCTTCGAGCATCGTGGTAGTTAAGAGCAAGTAAGTTCTTTTTGGTGTGTACTGTTACTGTGAAAGCGACTCCCTCGCATATTGATCGAGTTTAAGTAGTCGTTGTCGGTCAATCAAGACCACATAGTACAGTCTTCCAAGCCATTTGGTTTGCTTGTCTCCATGTCCAGAGGCTTCGAAGCCCGAAGCCCAAACAAATGAGAGGGCTGTTTGATTGGTGCAGAGTGGGAAGGATAGCGAAGCTAACGTTGATACGCAAGCCACAAAACGGCCTGACAGCTTCGCTGGCTCGTATAGGGAGTGTGTGCAGGTCAGCTCGGTTCAGCTTGCTGCATGTCTCAATCTATGAGCTTCCCCTCACTAGACCCTTGTTAGCGAATTCTCATAACCTTCATGTGTGTGATCAGAGAATCTGAGCTTGAGACTTCGGGGCATTCGACTCTCCCAACCCCCGCAAGGCAAATCGGGGACATGGCTGGCTGAAGTCTGCAGCTTGACGCACAGACGTGTTGAAGCTAGGACAAGCTCTCTTGATTGTCTGAATCGAATATGTGATTAAAAACATTCCGCAGTGACCAAAGCGAAGTAAATCACATATCATGGTCATTCGAAGCGAGGAGACGTGAGAGGGGTCTGATTCAGTCGGGCATAGAATTATGGATAGTTTGTGCATTGCGGGGTCTTGTTGCCTCAGGCACTGAGAGCAGCCGATGACTAACTGCTTTGGGCCATTGCCTCGTGCTCGTATTTACCTTGCCGAATTATAGCAGATTCTCTCAAATCTGAGATGTTCATCCCCCTTTTAAAGTCGATCGCTGACTGATCGATGTCTAAAAGATCATCTTGATCGATTCATATAATGGAATGTCACCTACACAGTCTTGATTGCAGAGGTCATGGCGTTTGCTCAAGCTCATCCGCAAGGCCACTCAGCAGGATCCGCACAACTTGTTGCGTTGGGCCCATGAGACAAGAGAGTTTGTCTAGCATTAAATAGATCAGGTCCATGTCCTCGTTCCGGTGGCAAGTCCACGCCCTGAGGTGCTACAATGATAGTCTTCTGATATCTTGTGGCAGGTTCCCTTACTTGCATCATACTCCATTCGGCATCCGTATCACCACCAAAATCCGGTCGATCAACAGCCTATTTTACACCAGGGTGTAGCATGATGATGTATGTACACTGGAGACATCCAAAGCATGACGAACAGCAGGCTCGAAGGTCCACAGGCAAAAGCGCAAAGCATATCGAGAAGCGACAGACTAGCTATAAAGTGTCGTACCCTGCCTCCTCAAGGCGTCTCAATCCAACAACATTGAAAATGTTACACCTGATCTTCTGGTCCGCACTTTGCCTTACATCGCCTGTGGTGGCAGGTAGATGCAAAAACACCCCTGTTGATGTGACATGGCCCTCTGACACGGACTGGTCGTCTTTGAATGCGTCCATTGGCGGTCGTCTGCTTCGCACAGCTCCCGCTGCTGCCTCCTGCTGGCCTAACAGCCACTTTGAGACTCCAATCTCATGCAATACAGTTCAGTCACAGTGGACCAACGCGCTCTGGCTTGCAAGCCAGCCAGACTCCACTGACTGTCCTATCTATGCGAACAATTCTTGTCTACCGCCAAACGTGACAGTTATGTACACGATCTAGGCTGTACAACTGGGGGGCTGCCGACATATATTGTCAACGCCACGACGGAGACTCAGATTGCGACGGCAATGAAGTGGGCTGCCGACCGCAGCATTCGCATCGTCATCAAAGGCACTGGACATGATTTGAACTGGCGGTAGGGTGAACGGTTCGCCTCGAGTCACACATCAAGCGCTAATATACGTTTGCATTGTTATGTCAAGCGGTGCCTTTGCTTTGTCGATCTGGACTCATAATCTCCGCAAGTTACGGCGCGATATCTCATGGAAACACCCAACCAAGAATATCACGGAGGATGTATACATCGTTGGCAGCGGCCAGCAGTGGGGAAATGTGCTTATATGCGCTCGCTGAGGGCCGAGCAGTCACCACCGGACAAGACCCCAGCGTCGGACTTGGTGGCTACATTCAAGAAAGTGGACACGGTCCATTGTCACGGACCTACGGCCTTGCTGCTAGTCACGGACTGCAGATGCGCGTCATCACCACCCATGGACAGTTACCATAGCCAACGATTCACAACACCAGGACCTGTTCTGAGCGCTGCGCGGTGGCGGGCCGGGCCTGTATGGTCTGGTCACAGAATATTTGCTGCGACATCATCCGGCTCCGCGCAACGTGACTATGAGAAACCTTTTGATCGCCCCAGAAGCCGACCGCAACAATATCAGCGCGGAGGCATCTTAGAAAGCAGCCGTGTCGTACCTCCAGGCGCTTCCGGTTCTGATGGACGCCGGTCCAGCAGGGGCATGTATCATGTCAACTGCCGAGACAGCGGTGCGATTCGGCTTTCTTGTTGAAGCTACGACCGGCGTGGTCATCTCGCAAGCCTTCGAGTCTTTCAACTCTACCCCATCCGCTATGGAAGCCTTCATCCGTCCGGTCCTCACCCACATTGGACATGAATCGACTCCAAATAGCGGTAGCAGTGCAGTGACTATCACTTTCAGCACTTCCAACGTTGCGAACTACACCTCCTGCATTTCCGCCATCTCTGGTAGCAACGCAGCCGGCGGCCAGAGCGTCGTATCGATTCGCCTCCTCAGCCGCCGCGAGCTCCTTGGCACGTCGCGCACCGACATGACCGGCTATCTCAGAATCGCGCTTCAAGCGCAAAACGCGACCGCGAGAACCTTTGCGACGATCGGCTTACAAGGCGGACCGGGAATGCAAGAGACCCCTCCAGGGGACTGAGGTACTCTGCTACCGGCGTGGCGCACGGCGTACCTGCATTTCATTGCCAACGGAGCGACAGTCGACTCCGTCGCTGCGGGCTCTCCGAAGCGAGCGCTGCAAGACGCCGCGCGATGGTACGAGGCCAAGGAGCGCATGAGGCAGCTGTGGGCGCCGGAGTCGCGGGCGTACATGAACGAGGCTAATCCATTCGATCCCGAGTTCAAGCGTGACTTCTATGGGGCGAACTATGACCGGTTGGTGCAGGTCAAGGCCAATAACGATCCGAATGAGAGCTTGTTTGTTCCGGCTGGTATGGGAAGCGATTAGTGGGATTATGATCTAGATAGTGGTCGACTCTGCAGGGTGGATTAAATAGGTGTCTATCTTCCGAGGATCTTCCACGGTATGGGCTGGGTCTCATTAGTTTGTCTGCGGATTCAAAGCAAGTGACTGCTATTCTATCGGTAGGTGAGTTCGGCTTTGGCATGCTGCTGACTTCGGATACTGTCTTTGTAATGCGGTTGATTATTAACTATATAGGATTAATCACGGCAAAGTATTGTACATCTAAGGCATCAATCATCAAAATTTCACAGTCTATACACGCACGTTCCCATCACCGGCTCCTTCCTTCTCCGTCGAGGAAGGCAAGGCTTCAATCTCCTGCCGTTTCTCCAGCATCGACTGCCTCATGAACGGACTCCGCGCCCGAATCTCCTTCCCCCAGATCAGCACCAAGACCGGCGCAAAGGCCAAAGCCAGCGAGATCAAGGCCAGCAAAGTACTCGCCCACTGAAAATGCAAGGTATTGTACATGCTCTGTGCCGCGAGTGGCAGGAAGGCGGAGAAGACATTCTCGCCCAACGCCACGGTGGCGACTGCACTCCCGGCCCAGTAACTGTACGCATCGACCACATAGTCCGCAATGCCGCACACGACCGTCACACTCCCGGCCCCGACCATGGCCAGCCCTACCGCTGGCGCAACCCACGGGATATTCGGGTACGAGGTCCAGGCATATGTGAACATCCCGCCCGCAATGCCCAGGATGCCGCCCGCCACGGCCGTGTACAGGCGCGCCTCGGGGATGGGGGCGCCGGGGATCTCCGTGTTGCGACGCGCGGAGTCAAAGTACAGTTTCGCGGAGTAAAAGCACGTGGTCCAGCCGAGACATTGGCCAACCACGATCGCGGCCTGAACATAGCCGGCCTGCACAGCGTTCCAGCCGTATAATCCGCTGAAAACCTGTTCCACGGTCTGGGTGAAGAGGTAGAGCGTCCCGACAGTGAAGGCGGACCACAGCGTCGAGACGAAAATTACCGACTCGGTACACAGCAGCTGCAGAGGCCGCTTGATGCTGGCCAGGAGCATTTGGTGGCTGGGTTGTTTGTTTAATTCCTCGCGTGCGTACACGTTCTGACCCTTGGCGCGGAGGTGGCGCGCGCGTTGGGTGAGAATCACGGCGCCTCGGGACTCTCGGAACAGGAAGTAATAAATCGGAAAGAGAGCGCCGAACCAGATCAGCTGGAGGTAGGAGATCCAGCGCCAAGACAGGTATTGGAGGATCGCGGCGCCGATCACGGGACCGATACTACTTCCGGAGAGGTAAGCGAGGATATACAGGCTCACGGGCATGTTGCGCTCGCGCTCGTCTCTCCAGACATTACCGATTACCGAGGCGACGGTGTTGGCGAGGATCATCACGCAACCGCCGCAGAAGAATCGGGTGATGACCAGAGTAGCGAAGTTCTGGGCCAGCCCCTGCGGAATAATGAAGCAGAGGAAGATTAGGTACGTGCCCAGAAAGCAGCGCCGGATGCCAAAGTCCTCCATGACTGGGAGAACAAGGAGAGAGAAGAATGCACCGCCGATAGTCCATGATGTGACGGGCCAGTACGAGTGCGGGAAGCTTGCATCGCTGATCCCGAACTCCTCGTTGATTTGTTCGTGGGCGACGGTAATGATGGTTCCATTCATGAGTGTTGTGAACGTCGTAAACAAGGGAATCGCTGTGACAATCCATTTTCGATGAAGGGGCCAGTTGAGGGGGTCCCCCGGGTCATCGGATCCCTCCCATTCGAGAACGACGACGTCCGACTCTTGCGAGCTGGCTGGTCATGACGGTCAGTACTGGGCCATTAATCAGGGGGGGGGACTTCACTTGCCTGAAGGCGTTCTTTCGAGGTCAGCGGTGGCCATTGTCGCCATACGATAAAGACGATGCAGTGACGTCTATCCGAGTGTGATTATATATGCGAGGATGGTGAATTCTAGTGGCTTCTGCGAATATTCCCGAGTCCGTCGGACTCGTGTATTGCCGCAAACGGAATTGAGAATTGTGAGCGAGTAAAGAACAACAGAAGGGAGGAAGTTCGGAGGATACATCGGGGTTGCCTGATTTATGTGAGAAGGACAATCTCCCCGTCGACACTTCGGCAGACGCGCCTCCATGGTGCTAAGATGAAGATCTGGACTCGGACAAGGCTAGATTTTTGCCTTCATGGACTCTCGACGGAGACTCGGAGAGAGACTTGGGAGGCTCCACCCGCTGGTAACTAGTTAGTCCACTGCACGGGCTCAGCGGGTTCTCAAGTCACCTGCCGCATTCGGGTTAGTCGGTCGCTCTGTTCCATCTCCCCGATTTTCTTGTTTTGGTCTCTGGAGAGTTGATTCAGACCATTGCACCTACCTGGTGGTACCTTTCGCGTTAGCTGATTTCTTCAGCTAAATCCGCGCAGTGGAAACGAGATTCCTTGCAGCTCTTCAGTTGCGCATATGTGCAGTATGTATGTCAATGTCTGATACATCCAATCGAGAATACCGCCACTCCTTCTCCGAGCTTGCTGACAAGACGCGAAATCATGTCATTTGCATGTCATCCTGCTGAGAGGGATGGCTTGCATCCTGGAAGTCGCCGAATCTCTCGTGGCTAAGCAGGGTTCGCCATTCGATAATGAATGCAATGTAATATTTACTTCTCGTATCGGCTTGAGACCGAAGAGTCAGCTGGCGCAAGTCGGACTGGAATAGGCTAGCGGAAACCTTGAACGACAGTTTTGGGGGTCTTTTCTCTCTTCCGCTTGCTGCCAGGTTCTCTCCATGGATTGCCTCGATCCAGCAGGTCGGAAGCGGGTTAGCCGAGGTGGGTCTGGGACTTTTCCGCACCTAGCGGGCGCTTAGCGCGCTCTTTCCCCCTCGTGCACTTCAACAATGACTTTGTGCGGATGTGACAACCGCCTCTTCCGGCCTTCCATGTCGAACTGTACAAAAAATACTTATCTCTAATTAGTGTACACCATGGGCATTGCGTCTTTGATATATATCAGCTTCTTTCTTGCCACTGCCACGGAAGACAATTCAATAGATGCTCCTATCTTATGAAGGTTCTTTATTCTCACCGATTCTCGGAGCATCAGTTGTACCTGATCACGGGAACCGCGCAGCGACAACGCATCTGCACCCACCCCACTATGACCTGATGAATTGTGCGCATATCGCGGGAAATTTCAGCGCTCTCATCATCATGCACGGTGCTTAAACATTTATAGCCGTTGATGTCTCGGCTTTCCCCACTACATGCAACCTGCTACTGCACCGATTATTCAAATGTGTTGGCAGCACGCTTGCTCGAAAACCCGTGCTCCTCGGTTTGTCAAGACTTGTTTCTACAAGCCCCACAAACATCAATTATGGACAAGTCAAGCGGGCGGTAAACGGACCCCTGGAACCGGATCCAGATCTTACATTGCTTAACTCAATCTCGGTCCGACGATCGGGTGCGACCGTGCGACCATCGGCGACGAGGGTCTATTCGATCTTGTGCATAACCAGTCTGCAGGCCTGCAGTTTAGGAGAATCCACTCAACCCGATTGATCTAGTGTAAATAGTACCTGTTCCTCTTGCAGATTCATGCAGCCTATTCTCAGACCACCGCAGGCACTACCCGCAAGAGCCGACCGGTGTACTATTCTCCGTACGAAGCACAGCCGGTATGAACATTGTCTTCTTGGATTTTGGGAACCCAGCATACAACCATCATCGATCAATCACTTTCAACGTCCTAAATCGCTCCCTCGCCACTCATTCACAGATTTCTAGCTTCAGATATCAATGCCAGACCATCCCCAGTCTCTGAAAGAAACCAAAAAGAGACCCCTTCGGCACATATCCCGCATACCGACTTTGCCACCACGCCGCAAATGACCCTTCCACCGGGCCCAGCTCGGCGAACCCAAGCACCTCTAGCACCCACGGCATGAGGGCCACCAACACTCCCAGAGCCAGGATGGTAGTGTACACGGGGTGTTCTTGTGCGAACTCGAAGGCTTCCTCGGAGGCGCGTCGCAGAGCCTCGGTGGCTGCTTGGGCCATTGAGGCGTGTTGCTCGATCGCGTTGACGAGGCCCGAGAGGAGGCCGCGGGCGAGGTAATCGGTCCAGCCAGTTGGGTGGATGAGCTCGCTGGTGGATTTATGTATCTCGGGGACGGTCGGAGTGGTGAGTAGTATGGTAAGGAGCTCCGAGACTTGCGGGGACGAGGTAGGAGGCGTGCTGGCTTGAGCAGATGCACGTGTGCGCTTGGTAGGGACCAGGCAGTCGAGCGCAGAGAAGATGACGCCCATTCTGTCGAGCTGTTCGATACGATAAAGGTAACGAAATTGTGATGGTGTTTAGTGAGCTTGGTGATGACAAAGAAAGGTGATTGGCGGGAAGACCTCCGGGGGCGGTAGATGAAAGGGCGATGAAGATTGTTGTGATCGAGACAAGTGCTAAGATGAGGTCTTTATACCATTCACATCCCCTGTATTCCATCCCTTGCGTGTTTGCATGGCAAACAAAGCTTTCTCTACGCGGATTGCCGCAGCAGTAGGATTGGCTCACTTTTCGTGGCACAGGAGTTACCGCAGCTATTGATTCGTTATCCTTCACCCCTCAGCTTCTGAGGTAGCTTGGTGACGGGCGCTTCGCTTACAGCCACTCAGCCCGACCGTACATTACAAGGTCAACGAGGCTGAAGCGTACCAAGTGGCGCGTACCAAATCCGAGCATAACATCCAAACCTGAATTTAAGTGTCTCCATTATTTGCTCACCCAGGTATATAGGCTCAATCAAGTCGTTGTCACCGTCCTCCTGCATCCAAAACCGATCCACGCTCTGTCGACAACGGGCACCACTAATAAACTCCACGGGGTGACGATTTTACTACACATAATTGGAGATCCTATACCATGTCACTAACCAGGCCATCGAACAAGAGACAACCACTTACTCAATCAGATTGCCGTCCGGGTCGCGACAATACACACTGTGAATCTTGCCTCGAGCCCCGGTGCGCTGAACAATCTCACCCCCCTCGAGAACCTCAATGCGAGCGTCCTCGAGAGCCTTCTTCACATCACTGACTTTGGTATCAGTCAAGAAGCAGAGGTCCGCACTGCCCGACATCACATTCTGGGCCTTGGGCTCGAATTCCTTGCCGCGTTCATGAAGGTTGATTTTCTGCGAACCGAAGATGAGGGAATGACTAACACAGATCAGCACGAGGTTACATCCAGCCCAGATGCAGTGCATTGGTAGAGCAGACCGTTGGACCTCCGGACTGCTTGGAGAGGTGAAGATCTCGTGTCGCATTCCGAGGTGGGAGGTGTAGAAGGCCACCGTCGTGGGGATGGACCGCACCGTCAGCACCAGGTGGTCGAGGGACTTGATGGCGAACCTAGCTGTCATTCTGGTGCTTGGTAGTTCGATAGACAGGCTGTGAAATCAGAGACTGGGGGAGGTGACAGTGCACGTTATGATGCCTCGGTAGTCATCTCCGAGGTGGAGAAAGAAATGTCCGGCAAGACGGCAGGACGCCGAGCGGCTTCGAAAATATACTTAGCTCTATTGCGTCATAAGATCCATTCAGCTATCTAACGTGATGTCTGGTTTGTGAGCATGCTTCAGTGAAAAGCTTGACTAGACGCTCTCAGTGACTCTCTGGCCCAATCCTGAATGGTCTCAGATTCAAGCTTGTTCGGTTCACAAGGCCGAGGTCAAAACTCGAGCAGGAAAAATCCAAGATTGAGCTTGCGCCGACTTAAGTGACATTAAGCTGAGTTATTCATGCTGAGTCAGAATCTGTGCTCATAATTCTGTGTAACACCACAGCAACGTTCCACAGACAACATCACCATCAATCTAAGAACTCCACCAGTGCTATGCTGAAGCGTCGCTGAGTCTTGTTGGCCCTCTATTCTGTCCTTGCTGCGGGCTGATCGCAGTGCTCTCCTCGCTGTTGCCAAAGGCGGTCAATCCTTTTCATCTCGCGTTCACTCATCCGCGCCCATAAGCTCCTATTCGCGTCGTCGCGCTCAAACATTTCAGCCTAAAAACTTTCCTGGTCTTCACCTTCCACTGGCTACATTTCCGAAGTGAGATAGTCACGAGAGACTGAATACTGCCAGGATCACCTCTTGCTGCCTCAATGTTCTCTATATACTAACCCATTAGTCCTTCCTTCATTTCTTCTGCTTTCGGTCAGTCCTAGTTGCTCTCTTCTTTCTGTCACTTTCCCGAGTGTGTTCACCTGTGGCTTGCTCCTCTGGTTGTTGGTTGAGTGGAGATCTCAACGACTACCAGAGATCTCGTCGCTAAAGCCAACACTTTTCCCGCCTACAAATCGTCTCAGATGGAGTGTCCTGATCGACGTCTCGCTGAATAGACCGCAGAGATCGTTGTCGGTCCCGCCTGGGGGAGCGGTTTTTCCCCAGTCTCGGTGGAGGCCGTGTTTCCTGCCTAGTCCAGTCGGTTTATTTCTGCCTCAGAGATTTTCCTTCTTTGTGTTGAACCCGTTCTGATTTCCCTGATTCTCCTTATTTTAACCGACGGTCGGGTAGACCCTCTTCCTTAACTTCTGCCAGATACCTACTCCGCATGCCTGACGGAGGATAATTTTCATTCCACCTGTTGAAGAATATCTTTGGATGGTCATTAAGAACTACTCTCAGGGTCTATCATACGGTTGTCGACTCCTCCCGAGCACTTAATCGTCTTGAACAATGCGAGTTGTCCATTTCGGCACGAGCCGGTCTATGGAGGCTTGTCTGACGCCCACCCGAAGCCCGACCGTCGAATTGATCACTGCAGGAGAGCCTCCCAGCCTACATTTATTTGGTGGCAAGAGAAAAGATCTAGAACGGTCCTTTTGTACGGGGTCACAACAACTAAGGAACATTAGTAGGCTCGGTTGGAGCAAGATTCCCATTACACTTACACTAACGATGATGATACCTCTATCCTGTGGTTTGCTTTGCGTTGTATAATTCGCTGAAAGTGGGCATCTCTTATTAGGGATTGGCGATGCAGTCAGTTGACGTGGCTCGCCACTCACTTCCACTAGCATATTCGTCCAACTCCACATAGTGAAAATTTTTGCAGATTACGAAACATCAAAACTCATGCTGATATAGTCGAGCTGTCTCCAGCAGAACAAGTCTTAGTTGACCAAGGCGCAAGGTCAGTACTTCTTTTGACCAACTATCTGCATGGCGACCATTACATAAACCTTCCATTCAGCAATCACCTCAGCTTCCCAAAGAACTGCACCAGTCTCCTGCCAGTCGATGGTCTCGGCCCTCTGGATGCTGTTTTCTCAGCTACCACATGGTACGCCTGCAAAGCATTGACAGAAAATGCATGCGCTCCGCCCCACAGGAATAGCCTAAAGACACGATAGGTCTCCTCGCCCCAGCCTGCTACAATCTTATCTTTGGCCTGATCCAATCTCCTCGCCCATTCTTCCATTGTCCACTCATAGTCCTTCGTCTCCTGTACCACCTCATCGACCGCAAACCCATGCATCACCAACTCTCCCACCACATCCTGCACTGCCATATACGTATGCGTGCCACCCCAAACATACCGCCTCGTGAATGGGCTGACAGCGTACTTCTCCACCGCTGCCGAGCCATCTAAATACATCCTCCCTCCCACCTTCAGTAAATTCCAGGCCCTGCCTGCAAACCGCCGATAATCGGGCAAATGCTCGATGACCCCTAAGATCACGACCGCATCGAACTCCCTTTCAGACTCCCACACCCAAAAGTCCCCGACCAGCACGCGCCCCGGCAACTGCAACCTTTGCCGCATCTTCTCAACATACCGTGCCTGATATTCGAGCAATGTCAACGTGGTAACATGCACCCCTCTGGCGCCACAGTATTCCGTGACCCCGCCCCAGCCCCCACCGATATCCAGCACGCGCATTCCGGCCTCCAATCGCAAAGCGGCAAACATCCGCGCGAGTTTGCGCTCAGCCGCATCCTCTATGCTTATCCTCTGTCCGTCTGTGTCCTGTTGATCGAATATCCCGTGCGTGTAGAACCGGTACCGCGTGTCGATGAATGTGAGGAACAAGTCGTCGCCGCGGCCGTAGTGCTCGTCGATTGATTGAGCATTCATATGGGTGCCGGCACGAAAATAGTAGTCCCAGAGGAAGCGGAGACGTTGGCGCAGGGGGACTTTATCCTCAGAATCAGGACGGGATGCGAGGAGCGTCGCTAGGTCGCCGCTTATGCTAATGGTGCCTTTAATGTAGGCCTCACCGACGGCAAGCTCGGTGATCGGGGTGCGGAGGGAGGCCGGGGTGTGGAAGGTGACGCGCCAACTTGGCTGGTGGGGCGGGTTGACGGGGACGATGGAGCCGTCAGGGAGTTCGATTTCACCGGGAGTGTTTAGCGTGGTGAGGAGAGGGGCGAGACCCGTGCGGGGAAGCTTCGCTGGTGATTGCCCTGGGTGTTGAGTGGGGTACGTCATGGTCGCTGCTGGTTATCTCAGGTGAGCTTCCAAAGGGTATGCCGGCAAGGCAGGACACTGAGAGGATACTTGCTGCTTATATCATTTTTTTTCCAGATTGCTAACAAGCTCAGAAGCAAGGGTTGCAAGTCTGACATTGTTCCATCCGGGTCGAGGCTGAAGGAACGCCTGCAGACGCCTCTCTTGAGAATCTGACCAGTCAAAGAGGATTATCGTGATAAGTCCCTGACCCGTACCGTGCTTTAGCAAACACAGGCTCGAATCCAACACTCTACCTCTCACATGCATTTGCGCGCCCGCTTATTCGTCCGGGAGGGCCTTCCCATGGTGGTGTTGACCCACTTTCTGCAGCGCTTGTCAGAATGAATACTAGGTCAATGTGTGGCGCGGCTGAGAATGGGAGCCTAAGGAGTGATCGGCCGGCCATTGACCCCATAGAGAATATGCTGAGGTCTTGCAAAGATACAATCACTTACTCAATCAAAGCGTGATTGTCTTCGGCATTCCGGCTTGTTTGCATTGTTTGTGACCGGATTGGGGGCCTGCAGCCCCTGGGCTATAACCTGATGTGCTATTGCAACCCACCGTTTGTGGCGAGGAGTCCTAGGCGTACAAAGGTAAATCCCAACAGAGAGAAGCTCGATCAAATGGTCAGTCTTAGCATCCTAGAGATAGCTACAGCTTGGAGAGTTCTTCGTGTGTCGATAAAGTGCCTCCAAGAAATATCTGCTTGTCCGCAGCAGACTCTTCAGACCATCCGATCGAAGGTGAAGCGACATGGATACTTGATATAGTGTTACCACTTATCCACCGAGAAGCAACCGCTTTCGCAACTTGGTTATCATCCAGAGAAGCATTGTATATCAGCAGCGTGCCGCATACAATCACCTCGATATGTTGCGTGAGTTCCCTTCCCCGGTAGAGGAGCTCTTCCGTCACGCGTCGGGAGACCATCGATCGCACGGCATCCAAGCTTTGCTCAATATTTTTGCATTCGTGCTCGAATTTCGGCTTGCATACTGCAAGTACAGGTCTCACCCATGAACCCAGGACTGTCTCGATGATTTTCCCCTTTCCTAGACGCCTGTCGTTGATAACTCGGACCACATCTTCTGCCATCACATTGACAGTCCCTTCCCAGATAGCATTGACTGCGCAATCGCGGAAGATCTTGGCAATGTTCAGCAGCCCACCGTCTTCGTTATTCTCGCAGTAGCCCACGCCACCCAGACACTCCATGCAGGCGCGAAGCCCATGGACTGAATTCACGCTCACCGTACCCTTAATCACTGGAGTGATCAGACGAAGTAGAGCTGCAGCTGTCGCCTTATCTCTAGGAATCAAGTTAGCAGCCTTGGTACCTCGGGCCGTCAACTCCCAGTCTTGCTCGATGGTGCCCTGCAACGCAATGGCAAAGAAGGTGAGCTGCATTGACGCCCAGTACTTCACCGTCTCACTCGCCATCCATCGCACATGCAGTCGATTGTCTTGCAGAAGCTTTCCCTGTGTCGTCCGAATCTTACTGTAAGCGCGACAGATCGCCAGCCCGCGGCCCCAATACCCAAGGGAGCCGCCGGCCGTGTAGAGCCTAGTGATGTTCAGGACCGTCGCAATCTCCTTAACCCCCTTGCCTTCTTCCCCAATCAGCCAACCTCGAACCCCCCTTAACTCCAGCTCAGCCGTGGGAAGCGATTTAGTGCCCAGCTTATTTTTCAGCCGCTGGATCCGGATCCCATTCAACTCTGGTGCCTTTGCTTCGCCACCAGCACAGCGGCGCATCGGCACGTAGAACAGACTGAGCCCCTTCCTAGTCTGGGCCAGCAACAGCGTCATCTCAGAGTCAGTCGCGCTGCTGAACCATTTGAAACCATCGATGCGCCACGGCCCCAGCGGCAGCCCATGCGCGTCACGGTCCCTGCCTTGCGCGCTATCGTGTGCAATCTCATCCTCCGTCAAGCGGCGGGCCACCGTCTCCGTCCCGCGGACATCACTCCCGCCGCGACGCTCTGTCATCCACTGGCCCGAGGTCCACGCCACGGAGGGATCCCGCGCGACCAGCCGCCGATACGACTCTCGCAGCACCGCCCCCCTCCCCGGCTGGTCCCCGTCCGGGTCGTCCCGATGTGCGTGGAGCAGTTTCGCCGCCCCGTCGCTCATCGACGCCGGACACCCCGTCATCGCCGCACTGCCCGTCCACACATGATTCAACGCGAACTGGTGGACGCGTCGGTTCCACCCCTCGTTCTCTTCGTCGTACGCGACAGAGACTAGTCCTTCCTCCTGTCCGATCGCCTTGAGTCCACGCCACCCTTCTCCAACCCAGAGCGGGTCGACGCGGTTCTCTGCGCCAAAGGTTGTGAGGGGCCGGAGGATCGGGGGGTTGACCTCTGCGTCGACGGCGAGGCGGAGGACGGTGGGGTCGAGGGCCAGGCGGGAGAGGTTGTGGATAGCGGTTGTGGGCTCGGGGCAGTTCGGGGGAAGGTAGAGATCTAGCACGCGGGCGAGCGCGGTGTCGTCGCCGGGTGGGGACTCGGTGGCCGATCGTGGGTGATTGTTGGTGGTGGAGGTAGTGTATGCGGGCGGGACGACAGGAAGTGGTTGGAAGAATCCGTCCGTGGCGGAGGAGGGTTTCTTCCCGTTGGGGGGCTCCATCTTTCGTACGTGCGCGTACTTTCTTGGGGCGTATGGCACTGCTTCAATTTATCGCGGGGGTACGTTGTATGTACAGGATTGGATGAGAAGGTGGGCTTGGAAGGTCGGTGGCAGGAATCTCTACATATACGGATATGTCTGGCCAGTTTCAACAAGCGGGGAAGATACCTCGGTCTAAAATGGTTTCTCCCCACCACACCATCCAGTCTCAGTTGCAGGGGTTGTTATGGTAGCTGGTACTAAGTACCTAGGTATATCGCAGGGAAACCCGAACTTGAAATGCGTCAGGTGGATGTTCATTACGAGATCACGACCACCTTTGAGACTCAACACCCGAGGTCCACCGAACTTGGTACATGTGGCGGGGAAGGTTCAATGAATCTGTCTAGCCCGAACAAAATGTCAGCGTGCTTTGAACGCTCAACTGGTGTTGAGTTAGTCCAGTTGCTATGAGAAACGATCAACACTATCAATCATAGACATTCCGTATTCTTTCTCTGAATCTCTGAAAATGCCGGTGTATTGTGATGCACCGGAGGGTCAGGTCGGCCGACAGTCGCTTCGGAATTACCCCGCACCCGCACCCGCACCCGCACCCGCACCCCGCAGATTCACAAGGAACTGACTGAAGGCTTACCGTGGACCACTTGTCGGTTGAGCTTCCAACTTCCTCTCCTATGTCCACACATCCAACCGTGCTCACACACCTATAGGCTATGGGACTGGAATACCAGACCCTATTGTCGGTAATGTTGAACAGCCTCCATACCTCCCACCCAACAAACTCAATCAGCCGCCGTCAGTCCTACTTACACATACTGTACTTTAGAAGAAAGCAAGCGCCTATTACAGTGGCGTCGAGCTCGAAACATCAAGCCATCCAAGCCAAACACTCTGCCCAGATCGCACCAGGTCTCTCCGTCAACTACTACAATGCCAGACGGAAGATCAAGGACCTCGAACTCAACCCGCACAGGCACGGCCTCCTGATTTCTTTACAACGGATGTTCCGTCTCGTCATCACCCGCAACACGATCGGTTTGCGACAAGATCATATGCATGATCTCAGTAAGGATCTTGACGTTTGCTTACTGAGTAAAGTTCCCGAGCCTGCGAGGCGTACGATATGACTCGGTCGAGCGAGCGCTTCCTTGAATTCCGGCACCCGGGCGGAAGAGATATCAGATAGAGCGAGCATTGTGCAACGCGATCCCGACGGCAAAATACTGGAAGCACACCTGCGCGGCAGACATTGTCTTGGAGACGAGACGTATAATGGCTCGATGTTAGGAGCCTTTGGATGTCCCGTACAGCCGAGGTTATCATTTGATCTCGGGCGGTGACGGGCGGTTCGAGCTGCTCCTGGCGTCGGACTGAGGGCATAGCTGAATGCTCAAGATGGTTTTGGCTGGCCAGGGATGGGCGGAGTAGTGGTGATTGATGGTCGAATGCGAGCTGGAGAGTCGGTGTCTGCAGTTTGAATGTGCCAAGCCTCAACGGTATGCTGTTCCTGGACTGGAGTGACGCGCGCTCTGTAATCTGTTGTCCTGAAATGGTGGCGACCGAAAAGAGAAAAGAAGTCTCTAGTGGAGTGTTACGTGGTTTGCGGAGGTACGGTCATTCGTGAGTTCATTTTCACTATCTCAGATGGGCTGACTGGCTCTTTCCCACCACTCGCAAGACCTTGGTCACTGAGCTTCTGTTGAGCAAAGTGTCATGTCTTTGATCTACTGTACCAATGGATTACACATTCGGTCTCTTTATGAACAATCAGTCGAAATATCAAAGCGCATGAGGCGCACAGTTACCATGAAACGACAACTCAGAGACTACAAACAATATGACAGCTTTCTCTCCGCATCTACCTGTCATCCAGAAGCGATGAGCGACCTCACATCCCCTGTCCCCACGCCGCTCGCATCTGCTCAATCACGGTATCCGTATACCCCCACAGCAAGGTCGAGTAATCCGACGCCCACGACAACCCCGTGTAGAACGTGCGATGCCGTCCCTGCAAGCCATATAGTTCGCTGTAGAACCCATTCCGAATCTCCTCCGCACTCACACTCATCGTCGCCGGCGTGTGGTCCCCCCAGGTCACAATCTGCGGCTTCCGCGCCGTCGGAAACGTACCTTGGGCGCGGAGCCGGGCGAACGTCTCCACCAACAACTGCCGCGCATCAGACGCGGTGAAGGACTGGTTCCCCACTAGCTTGATGGTGCGGTATCCGGGAACGCGCTGGGCGTCGATCCGCCAGATGAACGGCTCGGATGGCACGGACAGAGGGTTGTCTGGGTCGATGTTGAGGAAGTTTACCCCTTCGACGAGACCGGTGTTGTTTACGAGGGCGGCGTAGTACGTTTGGTGACGCCAGCGGGCGAAGAGGTCCGTTTCGTGCGCGTCGAGGTCGATGATGCTGCGCAGGTTGTCGAGCGTCACGGGGATGGTGAGGAGGAGTTGGTTCGCGCGGATGAGTCGCGCTGTGCCGTTGGCGTGACGGACGGTGACCTCGACCCCGTTGTGGGTGCGACGGATGGATCGGATGGTCGTCCTGAACAGGAGGTGAGGGGCCAATTCCTTCGCCGCCCGGGTGTAGATCTCGGCCATGCCGTTCACGGGGCGGATGTAGCCTTCTCCCAGGGCTTTGGCGTGCGGGACTCCGAGGTATTGGACGTGATAGAGGGTCATCGTCTTCAGGATGTCGCCGCAGCCGTGATTGATGTTCGGGAGGATGGTATCTTCGAGGTGGTATTTCTTTACGAAGTCGCCGAACGGGAGCAGTAGGTCCTCTGGGACTGGGTCGGGTAGGTCGTAGACCCCGTCGTTGAGGAAGGGAAACTGAGCGATGGCATCGAGGTATGGTTTCAGGACCTGCTGCTCGTCGAAGGGCTCGACCGGCACTTTGGCGCCGGTTCTCAGGTTGAGATACTGGTCCGTGGACGAGGCGGGCACGCGCACTTCATACGTGACGTTGAGTCGGTGTAGATACGCTCGCGTCACGCTGGTGTTGAAGAGTCCCTCGACCCCGTAGTTGATGGGGGTGTGATCGGCTGGATAGAAGGTCTCTGCATGGCCACCCAGACGGTGACTGCGCTCGACCACGACGAAGGACTTGCCCAAGTCCTTGAGGCGGATGGCCGCGTAGGTGCCGGTGCTTCCTCCGCCCACAATCACCACATCGCGAGTGATCGTCTCGAAAGCCGCGTCGGTCCCGGCCCCAAGGAGACACGCAAACAAGCCAACCAGGCTGAAAGCTATTGTCATCTTCGTTGCTGGCTGGAGATACTATCTACAGCAATAGCGAAACGTTGGATCGCAACACAATGTGATGCGCTCACAGCATCGCTCGATTCTACCCTTCGAGTCGCTCTTGCTCAATTCTGATGGCTATACGAAACTCCGCCACAATCATCCTCGTTTCCCGCCCCATGATGCCGAGGACAGACTATCTCGACACCACGCACCATCGAATTTCACCATCCCGCCCTCTCTCCATCTCGCCGACTTTCGATAAAGACCCGTCCTTCGCGACATTCTTTGAGGACCGATCAGAATTCGCGACAGCGCATGTGGACACGTACCAATTGTCGGTCGCGGGCACTTTTCGAGTTGCGCATTTGAAGATGATGCTGTTCAACACAGCCTGTGAGGACAAATGATCGAGGACAGGTCTGTGGGTTTCGTACACGATGCTCCAGCTCCGCCAAGCCGGGCGGCCAACACAAATAGGCCTCAGGTGTCATAACGCTCCAGGCATGTGCTGATATTCTAGAAGGCTGACCAGATGATGTCGCCATAGGACCACGATGTGGATGCTTTCAGTCGAGTCTGATTTCGCCCCAAGGCAACACGGATGTCACTTCACGAGGATGGTGATCGAGAACAGGACGCAACATCGTTCGGTTACAGCGAAGACCCCGTGCGACCGAGATACAGACCGGCAGAGCGCAACGTTGCACACGATCCGGAGACAGGTCATCCGCATATGAGGATGCCTGACAATCGGGGTTGCCGAAACCTTCATCCGCCCGCGCGGCGCCGCCCCAATCGGGCACTTATCGTGCGATAACGAGGCCATCAATCGGGCAATTGCTCAAGGTCGGCGGATTTGAGCCCTGTGCTGGCAAGGAGCGAGAGAATGGTCTCACAGGGTGGAACTTTGTTGTAGCATGGCATCTGTTTTGGTCTGGCTACCATTTGTATCGCCCGAGCAGGGCTTCTGTGGTGACTTTCCGCGAGCTGGTGATGGCCCGTCGGCGGTACAGGGCCTGGTGAGAGCTGAATGCTACCAGATTGTATGGGTGTAGCGTTGCACTGTGGGTTGGATGTGCCAATACGAGGTGTATTCTCATTTGCACTTCCTTGGTTCAAGGTTGTTAGGACGCGATCGAAAATGGGTCCCCTTATCTGTATATTATGGGTGAAAGACAGCGTCACTCTTACATCAATTAAGGCAAGATGGCCGAGTTGGTCTAAGGCGTCAGGTTAAGGTTACCTTAGCATACAGCTTCACAGCTTCCTGATCATCGTTTGATGGCGTGGGTTCGAATCCCACTCTTGTCATAACTTTTTGAACATTTCCCAGGTTTCCAGCAGTGGCTCGACTTTCCGCTTCACTCATGTATATATGCGGTTGTCCTTTGCTTTCTTCTATTTGCTTTTTCTCTCTTGATTGTCTGGAATGTTTGAGCACTCGCACTCGAACTAGAAGTCGCCTTATCGAAGGTCGCCTTCGATTGTGAATACACGATCAACGCGCGCTACAGCTTAGTAAAGTATCAACTGAGGAACGGCAACAAGATTCGTAATTCAGTACTGCAGATAGAAGTCTTCCACTTTTCAAATTCTTCCAAATCACCCTAGCACTCGCCAATCAGACAAAGATGCTTCAATGAGAAAGGTCACCGGATTGTGAGCATACAAACAACCCCGCACTCCAGCTCAACAAGACATCAACTGAGGAAAGGCAACAACATCCGTAGCTCACTCGCCCGCCATCATCACTGACAGAATAAAAGCTCAGATTAAACTAGAAAGCCTCTCAGCCCCCCTATACTTCCCAACAGGCATAACCCATCAACCCGCCACCAATATACCCCCACCCCAACCATCAACCACACTACAATTCAAACCTCGACCCTCGCACCTCAACCCCCTCACCAAGCACCCCATCCCCCCTGCCCCAGATCAAGATAAAGAAACATACCCACCGCGCGCCCACTCCATCCACACCACCCCGACCCCCGCAGCAACAACAGGCACCACCCCTTCCCGCACCCGCACCGTCCGCCACACGCCCACCTCGGCCACATAGAACCCCAGAACCGCCCCGAAGCTCAGCAGCGCCAGATCGTACACGGGCGCGACGTGGATGTGGTACGCGGCCGCGCCCCGGATGCCCGCCGCCAGCAGGTTGGCGAGGCCGTAGACGTGCGCGAGGAGCGGGGACCGGGCCGGCGCGTTCGGGCCCGTGAAGGCTTGGATGGAGGGGAGCGGGCGGAGGTAGGTTGCCAGGCTGTGGGTTAGGGTGGCTAGGGTGCTCTGGTTGGGGTTACTATCTATTGTCGGGCAGGGAGGGGGAGGGGGGGATGGGCATACGTAGAGGAGGAAGTAGGGGAGGAGGCCTTCTTCGTAGGGGGGGAGCCATGGGGGGGTCATTTTGGGGCGGTTTGGGTTTGGGTTGGTGAGGTTGAGTTGAGGGTAGTTAGTAGTTGGGGGTTTGGGGTTGTGGTTCGAAGGGGGGCATAGGAGAGATGGCTCTTATAGATACGGTAGGTAAATGTTGGTCGGTGAAGGAAGAGACTCGAGGTGTGGTGTCCACGTAGTGACGATTTCCCTGCGTGCTCTGTGGTACAGTACTTGCTCTGTGCGTGGTCTTCGTATGCTATACCTCTGGAAGAGTTACTGCCAGCGTCTAGCACCGCATTATCCTTATGATGTTAGGTTCCTCCTTGCAGGCAAGGTAAGTCACCAGACGACAAAATAATACATTCCTGACATCCCTTAGCAATCTATCCTGTCATCCCAAGATAACACCGTTCTCTGTTTTCAAGCATTCCCACTCCCACGGTTACAGAGAACATGCGACCAGAAACGTCCTCAAGCCTCCAACATCGCCTCGATAACCCCATACCCCTCCGTCACCACGTCCACCCCCGTAACCACCAAGCCGGCCCGCCGCAACAGCTCCGTGGTATGCCTCTCCGTTCGCTCCATGGCCGCCATAAACACCATCATCACGATATCCATCCTCGCCAAAATCCGCGGCGCGTGCATCTCGGGCACAATGCCCCCGAACAGCCACAGCTTCGAATACCCGCTCCGCATCCCGGCGGCCACGTTCCGCAGGATGTCCACCACCTTACCGTCCGGCCAGTTGTGGATGATGTGCTTGAGTAGGTACACCCGCGCCCCCTGCACCGGCTGCGGCGTGAAGAAGTCATACGGCACGTAATCTATCGTTGGGTCCCGCAGGTCCGTGGGGATGGTCTCGATCACCGACCGCTGATCCTGGAGGACGATCTGCCCCGTCTGCAGCGGGGAGGGGAACTTGGTCTTCAACACGCGGAGGTCGTGACCCATGCCGCCGCCGACATCGACCAGCAGGGGCGCATCGGAGTCGAGGGTGTCAACGCCGCCCGTGGTAATGCGCGTCCAGACGGGGTAGCTGTCGCTCCAGTGCTGTTGGTTGCGCTTCGTGGTTTGGAAGGTGTTGAAGTCGCGTGCGATGGTGGGGTTGGCGGCGAGCCATTGGAAGAAGCTGCGGTCGGTGTGGAAGCAGGATTGGAAGATCCCCGAGGGGCTGTCGCTGTCGGAGGGGTTGCGGTACTGCGTTGCTTGGAGGTGGTCGGGGAAGCTTTGTAGGTTGGGGGCGATGTTGCCGCTGTTTGCGGGGCGGAAGTGTTAGCGAGCTCGTCTGATCGGCAGGCAGTCAGGACATACAACATGCGAAACCCGGCGGCGAATGCTGCGGTTCCAAGGATGTTCGAAGTAGGGGTTGCCGTGTAAGCCTCTGGGCTGGATTCGCGCACGACGCCAGTGCCGGTGATGACTCGCATGAGTCGAGCTGAGGGTGGTTAGCTTTGGTTGAATCAGAGCGTGCTGAAGAGCAGAGCCCACCGAGGAGGCTTGATTCCGCCCCCGTCTGCTCGGCCAGCTGCTGAAGCCTCAAAGACCCATGGCTCAGCTTCTCGAAAATGCCCAGGTCACTTGCGGTTCGAAGACAGGGGAAGATGGTAAACTGCAGTTGTTAGCTTGCGCTTCCGACATGAAGGAGCGAGCCAGACTGTTGTGAAGCTCTCCAAGGCCTTATCCCCGGGTCTCTGCAGAGCATTGATGACAGACTGGCATTGAAGAATGGCATCTTTATGTGCTGTTGAGTCGTCGAGGTTGACGGTGTTGAGCTGGGCAAGGGAAGCTTTAGCCTCGTCGACTTGGGGATTGAAGTCGCTCATGCTGGATGGATGCGGTGCCTAAGGCAGAAACCATCCCTTGGCTTGCTCACCATCCGACCAACACTACCGTTTATCATGAAGGCTGGATTTGGTGGTGCAAATTAGCTTCCAAGTTCGACCTTCGCCCGCACCATTCATTCTTGCCAAGCTGCACGCCACTCTTGACTGCCTGGATTGCCTGATCAAACCGGCCTCGTCGATTGTTCAAAACACCCCATATCGTCGCCTTGCCGGAAAACGTGCGACGTGAGAGAGGCGGGGAAAGCGCCCTGCGTTGCACTGTGAACGGATCATTGTGCCACACTATTTATTACCTCAACAACCTCGCTAACGGTTCACTACCTGTGGTTGCACACGCTGATGGGCGCACTTACGGGTAAGACCTCACCACGCCTCACTCCGGCTCTGTATCAATTCCCAGTCATCTATCTTAACATGGCCCCGTCCAGCAGGCAAAGCTTACTCTCACCAGTTTGTCTCACTGTACTCCATCAGAGCTATGTATCGTAAGGCCACCGATCTACAACGCGCTATTTGCAGACAATTCGTCGTTTTTTGAGGTGACCCTAGAAGGTAACCTCGAACTTCGTTCGAATCTTCTTGCCGTAGTAATAGAAAATGACCGGCACCGGTAACATGAGCAAGGCAATGAACCCGAGCAACGAGTTGCCCCATCCCAGCCCCAACGTCGCATACATGGAGGGACCTGCAAGTGGCAGGAACGCTCCGACGAATGATCGGACCAGGGTGTTTGCAGCCACGGCAGACGCTGCGTAGGGGCCAAACGCATCAACCATGTATGACTGGATGGGCAAAAACGTTCCGATCATACCCAACCCGATCCAGCCCAGCCCGATGATGGGCATGATCCAGTGCACATGCCTGTCGACCGACCAGCCGTACCAGAACAGACCGATAGGCACCAAGGTGCTACCCGGGATCAGCAGAGGCAGTCGGAACTCAGGCTCTGATTGACCGTTGTTCTTCGCCGTGAGTCGAATCTGGGTCTTGTCGGACAATGCGCCGAAAATCGCCATCCCAATGGCAGCACCCACCCCGACCCCGATATAGACCAACCCGGTGTTACCCTGGGTGAAGTGATATGTGGTTTCGTAAATGTGGGTGATTGTCGTGAAAAGCAGGTAGAGGTAACCGAAAACGATTCCTGTGATCCGGAAATAGTGGTTAGAGACCGCAAATCTGAAAACAGCGAGCTGCAGAGCCTGAGTGACAGCTAACCAATATAGATTGAGAATAGCGCTACTATTGGGGACAAGAAGAGCATTTTCAGCGGTCGGACGATGGATTGAACGATGCTGTTCTTCGCATTGACTCTCAGAGTCTTGTCGGAGTAGAGGTTGGGATTGCCAGTTTCCTGTTTCAATCGGTTGACTTGACGCTGGAGTAGCACAGGCTCGTAGGTCTCCGACTGGAGGAGGAGGGTAAAGACCAACGCGACACCTGACTGAGTGAAAGAGCGGATGTCAGCACGTAAGCAGAATGATAGATGAGCCAAGCAGCTCGTACTCACCACGATGGCAACCAGCCAAAGGACCCAGCGCCATCCTGCAGCTTCGGAGAGGTAACCACAAGCGATCGGTCCTAGCACCGGACCCATGAGCGGACCTACCCCCCAGATGGCCATGACCAATCCTCTTTCTTGGGGAACAAAGAGATCACCGATCGTGCCCGCGCCCAACGTCATAGGAGCGCTACCGGACAGACCAGCGAGCATCCGGAAGGCCAGGAGAGCACCAAGATTGGGGGCTAGAGCACAGGCGATGTTCCACACAACGAAGACGGCCGTGGTGATTTGGTAAACGCGCAGGCGACCATACATCTCCGACAACGGGGCAAGAATAAGGGGGCCAAGGCCGAAGCCGATCAGGTAGATGGAGACTGAGAAGGAGCCAAGAGTCCTGTTGGTGGAGTGAAACTCCTTGAGGACCAAGCCCGTGGCGGGCGCCAGGATGGAGGAAGCCAAGGGAGTCAAGAAAGTCAAGAACGAGACACTGAAGATGTTCAGCCACTTCTTCTTTCTCGGCCAATTGATTGGTCTGGCTGGGTCGTTGGGGCCATCCCAATCGACAACTGCGGAGTGGACTTCCACCTTCATAGCTGGTCGTACTATCTCCTCAGGTATGCGTGGTGTGTCGTAGTCGACGTTGATAGTGTTGCTTGCAAGGCGTCAGCGACGTAAGAAGGTGTGTGTTGTGAACCAGAGGTGTATCTGCGTTCCATCTGCTTTAAAAGACCGCAGCACGTGCCTCCCTTCGCGTAACCAGTGGTGAAACCCAACTTCCCACTCGGGAGACAATAAGGTAGGACACTCAGCGTGCGTCCCCTGATGAAGATGGTTGGTGAAGGTCGAAGTTTGAGTACACGAAAATTCGAGGAGAGTGGAGGAGAGAAAGTCTGGAGCTGAAAGAGGAATGGGAATTGGGAGGTGATTCATAGGTTGGTTGGTAGACGTCAGAGATTCGGGATTCTCGCCCGAACGCCAGACACTGCCCACTGTCCGTTTACGTACATTGTAGATTACTCAATGGCTCAAAAATCTAGAAATATACCCCAAATCATGGTTTGGGTATTGGTATATCTGACTCACCACGTTTCATGCAACTCTGTTCCGTAAGCTTGATTCAAGCCTCTGGCACACCACCATCATGTCGTGGGCTGTAGACTATTCTCTCATGCCGCTCAAAGGAGTCACGTTTGGGGGGATCATAGCAACAGTGATAGTGGTTACGATACTAGTAAGAGAGGTTACTATGGAGTAAGTATCATAGGCTAACAGATTCATCCAGTATGCCGTCCTCACTGCGGTATACCTGCTCAAATTCCATCCACTTGCCAAGTATCCAGGACCGAGGCTTGCAGCCGTGACTCGCCTAGTACATTCCTACCATTTATTATCTGGCACGGTGGTCCGGTTCGCCCACCAGGCTCATGAGGAGTACGGCCCGGTCGTGCGGATCGCACCGGATGAAGTTCTATTTACCTCCAGCAAAGCATGGGAGGCGATCTACGGCCTGCAGCCTGGTCGACTGGAGATGAGCAAAGACACGCCGCTGTTCCGCGGTCCACGAACGCCTCATGCCATCGTCACGGCCGAGCATGATCTCCATCGCCTCTATCGGCGATTGCTTTCGAAGGGCTTCTCCGAGGCAGCCCTTCGAGAACAGGAGCCCGTAATCCAGGGCAAGATTGACCTGCTGTTGGCACAGCTGCATGGGAAGGCGTCGAAAGGCGTCGCGCCGGAGATGACCTCCTGGTTCAATGTGAGCGGACTACATTCCGAGCCAATGACTGGCGCGATACGCTCTTGAGTGTCACTGTATGACCGTCCCTACTAGTTCTTCACGTTCGATCTGATTGGGGAGCTAGCTTTCGGGGAGTCCTTCGGGTGCCTGGAAAGCTCCACCTACCAACCATGGGTCGCCATGATCTTCGAGGTTATGAAGTATCGGGGCTTTATGCAGGCCCTCAACTACTATCCCTCTGTGTCTAGCACGCTATTGAGGCTCCTCCCCAAATCCTACGCCGAAACCTTCGCCACTCACAAGCAGCTTACCCATGAGAAGGTCCAGCGAAGGATCGAGAGGAAGGTGACGTACAACGACTTGACCGCCAACCTCCTCAACCCAGACCACAAACTGGAGCGATACCAGATCGACGGTAATTGCTCGACGCTCATTATCGCCGGGAGTGAAACCACCAGCACAGCCCTGAGCGCTACAACGTATTATCTCACTCAATACCCAGAAGCCAAGGCTAAGGTGATCCAGGAGGTTCGAAGCACATTTCAAAAGCCAGGGGAGATCACTTCCATCAGTGTGAATCAACTAAAGTATCTGCCCGCCTGCTTCACCGAGGCTATGCGAAGATTTCCGCCCGGGCCCGCCGTCTTCCCTCGGCGAGTTCCCAGGGAAGGGGCCTGGGTTGCGGGGCACTGGATCCCCGGGGGCATGCAGGTGGGCATCTGCCATTTTGCCGCCAACAACTCACGTCTCAATTTTCAGGATCCCAAAAGATTTATCCCGGAGCGGTGGTTGGGCGATCCGGCGTATGCGAAGGACGATCGACACGCGATGCAGGTGTTCAGTGTCGGGCCCCGCAACTGTCTTGGGCAAAGTCTGGCCAAGCTCGAGTTGCATCTGGTGCTGTGTCGATTCATCTGGGAGTTCGACTGGGAGCTGTCCCCGGAGTCGGAGAATTGGGACCACGATACCCCGGTCTTCAACACCTGGGGGGTCAAGCCTTTGCGCATCTTTCTCACCCCGGTCAGCCGTTGAGCGTCTGGATACGTTGCTGTGCAAGAAATATGGTTAAGATTGACTTTGTGTGGCAAACTGTAATTTCGAAGGTTTTTCGGGACGGGCGAGACTGTCACCACGGATAAGCTTCAGCATAGTAAGGCTAACCAGCCTGTGACGTGACCGAGCCGTACCCCATCTCAGCGCTCACATTCATTGAATTCCAAGTGTCGAGGGTAGTATGAGCAAGGATCTTGATAAAGAATCGAAATCGGGCTCAATGTCCGGGCACACAACTCTCTGCGTTTTAGCCGTTGAAAAGAAAGCACGGGTTTAATGGTAAGCTTACTCGAATTCACACCGAACGCACCGAGAGCCACAACATCAGAATCGAGTATGACCCCCGGTATGGATCGGAGAATAATGGTCCACTAGACTAAAGACCCTTCCAACCCCGCCTTGTGCCAGAACTTAGAGTGTTAGAATATTGCCACTGAAGCAAACTGATGCTGCACTCGCCAGGTTGGGTGCGGGGCAGAAGTATGAAGGGGAACAACGCAGTGACACAGTAAGGCAGCAGCCCCCTGGCTTCTGCCGTGCCTGACCGCCGTCTTGGTTTGTACTTTTCTGGTAGTAGACAGGACAAAATCTACACAGCATGAAACATGTGACTGTGATCATATTCGATGCCTAACCTGTAGGTGACAAAGATTCACGTGAAGCTGCTCTACTTTCGTACATTGGTGGTTGGAGCAAAAAAAAGAAAATAAAAACATACAACAGAAGGGATTCGCTGGTGGTCACCCACCCAACTACTAACCTCCCGGCGTGTGGCTTAAGTACGGCTGAGCGGACGGGAAGCCCTGTTTTCCACACCCTGTGGTCGTATGTGCTTGCTTGATCTTTTATTATACTTACAACCACAGAAATCTTTACTGCCAGAGCACTTTTCATGCGTATAAAATTGCATTTGTTCTGGTACGAGCTGATACTGTCTACCAAATTTTTGTAGATGATGACGCCCCACTTAACATAGGCTTAGTTGGGACCGTGAGATAAGAGAATTGCGGGTACTAATTTGGGTGTCCCTTATAGCAGACAGCTGATGTGCGGTGATATATGTTGCCGCGGGAAGACACCCCCAACCACCTTCGTGATACAAAGGGTCTTAAAAAGCACCCTAATAAAGCGCTTCATGCTCCAGTGGCGGCATGCTGAACTGACGTAGCCCATGACCATGATCCCAGCAGGTGATACGCACACCCTCAGAGATCTTGGTATACCACCCGCCCCCCGACCCCCATCAATGTATTGTTGCGCAACTCGACCGCATATCTGAGGATCCATATACCCTCCAAGTCGGCATAGTAGTGCGGGGTTGGCATCCCTACAGAACAACCAAGGAAAGGACAGTTGATATGACTAGAAGACTCGCATTTAACCATGGACAAGAATAACATATGTACGCATCGTAGGTCGAGTAACAGATGAATACATGCTCTCGACAACGACCGTGAGAGCGGGCAAGTAGCTTGAAGAAAAAGCAAACATGGTTGCAATGACATAGTAGCTGGTACTTCTGAAAGATCAGCATGGTGCGTCAGATCGATCGACTATTGCTCTTTGAACCTCACTGAGGGCCTGCCGAGAGCATAACCCATGGCCTCGAAGGTATGCAAATAGGTGCTCATGTACGGCTGGTTTTGCCGGAAGGAAAAAGAGATCCAGGCCTGAACATGTGTTGTGTCGGCGAGATTCTGATCGGGGCTTGGGTTTGTCAACCTGACATTCTTGTATATAGTGTCCTAAACAAGGGAAGGTGGAGAGGAGTAGAACTCACTAATAGGCAGCGAGGTCCGACGCGTACGTTGTTGCCATCCCCTCGTAGCCCACACGCCCGAAGAATGCTTCCAAGCCATCCGCAGTGACCTTGTCATTTTGACCAAACGATGGAAAGTAGATCTGAGGCTCGGGAAGAAGGCTGTTTGGAGACAGGGTGAAATTGATTATAAAAGGTAGTTGTTCGTGGGGTGACTCGCCAGGCTCATAGAAGCAATCTGGAAGAGCGCAGCGTCCTTCAGTGATGGGTAGTAGCTGCCACAGCTCCTTCAGTAATTCGAGCCCCGCTATGGTCCCCGGGTCGGTCCGTCGTCCCCCGAGAGTCCATATATCCGCTATCGAATCCAACTCTAGTTGGGTTTCGTAACAGTAAAGTTTGATTCTAGAGTTAGAGGGCTCGACCAAGTCGCAAGAAAGGAAGTGGGGAATGAGTGTCGCGCTTCTCGAGGCCATGAATTCCTGCAATGCTGCCAGTGGTGTTCTTAACTTTCCACCTGGGTCGGCTTTACGTATGGCGTTGAACATCAATTGGGCCTTGGGCGTGCCAGACGTAATTGACTTGATTCGTGGATAGATGTAGGCTTTGAAAACGATCCCACCGTCGGGTTCTAGATCAGCGGCTAGTTTGTGCTGGGTTTTGAAACATGGAATCTCCCGTTTATTCTTTCGGATATTCTCAACCTCTTCGTCCGTGACGACTAGCTCTGAGACGAAATGATCGAACCAGTCCAGATCGAGATCTGCAACCACAGCCTTGAGTGCTCTCAGCACCGTGTGAATTTGCTTAGTATTGTAAGGGTCAGCTTCGGACCCTGTCAGAGGCCCGAGGGGCTCAAAGGCGAACCGCAGCAGTGATTTGGAGTAATTGAAGCTCAATTCAAAAGGCAGTCCGAAGCGGGTCAAGTGACTCTTCCAGTGCATAGGTTGGCCCTTTCTGGGGTATGGACCCAGATTAGGAATGACAAATTCACGGTGGATACACAAAAACCGATATTGCGCATGCACATCGTATTTGGCGGCTGCCATCATGCGTGCAAACATCGGAGCTGTGCTCTGCCACCATTTCACTTCGTCACTACTCGAGAATGCGAAGCTGCGGCTGAGGGTTTGAAATGGTAGAGAGAGCTGAGCTGAGACATCCATTCTGGTCGTGACAAAGAGTGTGCGATCTGTTTTGGTGGGTCAAAAAAAGAACTCCACTCGAAATTAAACTCCCATTACGGTGAGGGGTGGCTGCGAATTAGAAGCAGCAACGACATAGCAGTCGATAAATTGAGAATGACTGAGTTTATATGTTCATAACAAAGAAGCAGGCTCCCATGCAGTATGAGTTTGGGCGTTCCTTTCCACCCCATGGTCGTGACCTCGTGCAGGTTGCATCCACCGTCAACTTCCTGGGCATGGCTTCCTAATCGGTTCGAGGGAAACCAGAAGCTCAGCCCTAACGTAGCACATGCTGTGACTAGCCCAGCTACAGAGCCCTCACCAATGACTCTCTAGGGCGATCTAGGCTGCAGACTCGAGTGGTGTGATGTCAATGACCAGGCATTCGGACATCTATCCCCATATCACCTTGCACAGAAGTTACAATTTCGAGCTCGATGGGTTTCACAGCATGCGTGTCTTTCGAATATTCCTTCTTGGGTCTCTCTGTAACCTGTGAAGGGGTAACAAGTCTCGACATGGTTGGTGTGAGTATCGTATATGATGTCTTTCAGCTGACATCTCGCAAAGTCAATCGAGAGCTGATCGCAGGAAGGTTCAAACTCGCACATCCCAACCCTTGCAATTGCTGGAACACTTTTCGCATCCAGTTCTACAGGTTTCAAAGAGAGCAACGAGATGGGATGTCAACTTATGCTTCTGGTCAGCGTTACGTGATCCAAACCTAATCGCCGGGGTGCTTACCCAGAGGACCCGAGGACATCCTTTCGAGCTCAGAACCGTGGTCAAGACTGAGAGTATATAGCATTGTGTCCCAACTATGCAAGAGAAGGCTGACCTGCTTCACCTGCTGCAGAGAGATGACAAGAGAGACCGGAGCTTTCATCCAAGATAGCAAGAAAGAAAATGAAAGAACCGATTGCAATTGTGGGTAGTTCCTGCCGGTTCCCAGGCGGTGTGACCTCTGCGGCCGAACTCTGGGAGCTTCTCTACAATCCACGCGATGTTTTGACCGACTTCCCTTCCCATAAACTCAACCTCTCCGGCTTCTATCATCCTAACCCTGATCACCTTGGCTGCACAAACGTCCCAAACAGAGCCTACCTCCTGCACACCGATCATCGTCACTTCGATGCTGCCTTTTTCGGAATTTCTCCTGCCGAAGCCGAATGCATGGATCCCCAGCAACGGGTGTTGTTGGAAACAACATACGAAGCCCTGGAGGCTGCAGGATATACCCTTCAGCAAATGCAAGGATCCTCGACTGCGGTGTTTGTCGGGGTCATGACTTCAGACTATCATGACATTCAAATGCGTGATCTAGATTCTGCTGGGAGGTGGGATGCGACCGGAACAGCCCCTAGTCTGTTGTCGAATCGACTATCGTATTTCTTTGACCTGAAAGGCCCATCGATCACGGTCAACACCGCATGCTCGAGCTCTTTGGTCGCGTTGCACTATGCTGTCCAGAGTCTAAGGAACCAGGAAGCAGAGCAAGCCATTGTTGCTGGAGTCAATCTGATTCTGGACGCGGGAACATACGTCAGCGAATCGAAACTGCATATGTTGTCGCCTACATCCAGGTGTCGAATGTGGGATGAAGCGGCCGATGGCTACGCCCGGGGTGAGGGATGTGCATCTGTTATTCTGAAACCGCTAAACCACGCGATAGCCGACGGCGATAATATAGAATGCATCGTCAGAGAGACATTGATTAACTCAGACGGCCGCTCACCCGGGATTACGATGCCGAGTGTTGAGGCTCAGGCAAGCCTGATTCGACAAACATACCTGAACACTGGTCTTGATCCCGTCAGAGATCGGTGTCAGCTTTTCGAATGCCATGGAACGGGCACGCCCGCAGGAGATCCCGTTGAAGCCCAAGCAATCCAAACAGTTTTCTTCCCAAAGGACTCCCCGTTCAACGCAGCCGACAAGCTTCATGTAGGGTCCATCAAAACACTCGTGGGGCATTTGGAAGGTTGTGCTGGCCTCGCAGGACTGCTAAAAGCAGTCGAATGTATCAAAAACCGTATGATTACTGCGAATTTGCTTTTCGATAAACTCAATCCAAGGATCGAACCATTCTACGAGCATTTAGAAGTTCCAACTCAAAATCTCAGATGGCCTTCTCTAGTCCCAAATAGCCCACTGCGTGCCAGTGTGAATTCGTTTGGATTCGGTGGAACCAATGCGCACGCCATCATTGAAAGTTATACACCTCTCACAGAATTATGCCAACAGAGAGGCGATGAGCTTGAAAGAGCCAATCGAGACCTACTCGTAGGTCCGTTTGTGTTCTCTGCCCATACCCGGTTCTCATTAATGCAAAAACTTCAGCTCACGGCGAATTATGTCAGAAGCCACCCCTCGACAGATTTGAACGACTTAGCATGGGTGCTAGGTTGCAAAAGAACGTTGCTTCCGTTGAGAAGATCGTTCTCTGCGGATAGCCGCGATGAGCTTTTGGGCATGATTGAGAGAACCGTCAAAATGGAAGAATCGGACCTGGAAGACGA